ATGAGTGTCAGGTTCTAGACCTAGAACCTGAACCAGGTGACATAAGAATTGGGTTCATAGAATGTTTTTAACTTCACCTGAGTTGTTTTTACAAAATATTAGAAATCAATGACCACTTGTACTAGTTCACTAGCTTTTATCATCTAGAAAGGCTACAGTGTTATGGAGGCTTTCGGTTATTTCAAAAGAAAAACTATTAAGAGTAAAGATAACTTTACATTCAACAATTAGAAAATAATTTAAATGTAGGTTTTTAATTTCATGTCATGGGAAATTTTTTTAAAGTAATACTCAAGCTTAGTTTTTAGAAAGAAATTTTTAAACTAATTGTTTTTATTGAAACACAATAGCCTCTCCTTCTCTGAAGGGGCTCCGTTCCAAGACCCCCAGCGGATGCTCGTAGGTGCAGGTAGCACCACCCCTGTATATGCTGTTTTTCCTACACAAATGTGCTGTGATGAAGTGTGATGCCATTTCTACCTCAACGAAGCACGACGCACACACTGTCGCTGTGACTTTGCAGTTTGAGGTGTGACAGCAAAACTAGCATGGACTTCTTTTTCCTCTTCACAATTTCAGGGATAGAAGATTCATTTGGTCTTACAGTAGCTCTTAGCAGCCTCAGCGTGATGTTTTCTTTCTTTCCTTAGTAAGTGGAGAACTTTTTTCGCTTAGTTTATGGTTTCTCTTCGGCATATTCGAATTGCCGGCATCACTCCTCTTGGGCTCTGGGGTGATTATGAAGTACATAAGGGCGAGATACCTCAGCAGTCGATCTGATACCAAGACAGCTACTAAGTGACTAATAGTGGGGAGTGTACACAGCTTGGAGACGCTGGATAAAGGAATGATTCACATCCTGGGGAGGATGGAGCGGGACTTCATCCTACTACTGAGAACAGTATGGGATTTAAAACGTGAATTGTTTATTTCTGGAATTGGCCATTTGATATTTTTGGACTGCAGTTGATCGCGGATAACTGAAACCGTGGAAAGCAAAACCTCAGAGAAGAGGGACTGCTGGAATCCCATTAACATACTTTTCTAAATGTGTCTTTGTGCGAAGCATTCATTCCTTAATAGTTTATCCTGTGAAATTGTCTAACAAAACAGTTTATACAAAGCCAATACTTTGAAAAGTGTTTAAGCTTTTATTTCTGGGCTGTATTTCCTTTCTTTTATTTCTTGGTAGAAAGAGAAATTCCTTTCAGTACTTATGGACATGGGGTCTACCTATTCTTTCATTTAGAAAAGGAAAAATCCCGGAGCTACCTTGTATCTACTGTTTCTATTAGTTATACATGTAAAAAATATTTTCTGTAATAGTTTTCTTAATTCAAATAGTGCTTAATGAAACTAATAGTTAATAAAAGTGGGAGAAGGCAAAAAGTTAAATTTTTTCTTCACTAACTCAGAAACACTAGCCTGTAACTCCTCTCAGAGTGATGCAAATGAGGAACTTGTCTAGAATCCGTTAAATAAAACTTTAAAACATCCTACTTGTATTGTAGAGTGGGGCGGATGAAAGATGAGGCTGACAGATGGATACACGTGAAAATGGGAAACGGGAAACAAGGAAAGAAAGGGAATAATAAAAGAAAAGGATGCAAGAGAAATTAAAGGAAAGAAAGTGGGAATTATCATTCATTCATTTTACAAATATTTCTTTCGTGCCTAATGTATCAGGCCCCAGAATTTTAAGCAGAGAATCAAACAAGTCCTAGATATGACTGTCATTCCATCCACTGGACTGATGGAAAAGAGAATGAAACAGATGATCTAGGATGGAGAGAAAGAATGGCTGCCTAGGGACAGGAGGGGTGAAACGTTTACTTCTACTCACTCCTTTTCATGGCACAGCACTGTCTCCATCTCCCCTCTTCCACACCTGCAGAGTACCTATGATTCGTTTCTGGCATCTTCTCTGATCCTGTTGTGGATAAAGACCCTCTGGGCATGCTGAGGCCCACAGCCATGCAGCCATCCCTCTATCAGAAAAAAATGTGTATTAGTGTCCTTCATGTGCCAGGTATGGTGATAGGCACGGGAATCCAGCGGTAAATGAAACATTCTCGCTGCCTTCTAAGCATTTGACAGTCTAGTCGTGTACGGCGTCAAGTAAACGGATAAATAATGATCCAGAGTAACAAATGCTGCTCAAGAGATAAGTGGAAAGTCAGCCAAGTCGGGGGATCAGGCCAGGTTTTCCGGAGGGAGAGATCATCAAGTTGACATTTCTCCCGTTAGCTATTCCTTTTTAAAGATTCCATCAGAATAAACCTACCTTGGAAATACCTTTAGTTTGCCTTACAGTTCAGAAAAAAAGATTCAATTTTCATTTGATTTAAAAGTTAGCAAGTTAAGTCTGTTTGACTTGGTTTTTCATGGGTGGGTTGCTTTGGGTAAAGTCCTAATTACACTTTTAAAAAGCATGTTAAGATTCATCTCCAACTGCCCCCCACCTCCGCCACACACATATACACACACAAATCATACCCATTTTTAAAAGTTTAAAATTTCAAAAAGAAAACACAGGATTTTTTGTCTCGCATTTTTACCATCCGTTTTATACATAAACATGTATAGGCAGTTCATTGTTTTGCCTTAATATAAAACAGATGCCCTTAAAGCAATTTAACTAGTTTGTGTTTAAAATATGTGTATATACAGCAATTTATTTACTGCCGTTTTATTAGACTTTTGGAGGAAAGGTGCCAGATCACGGCCGGTCGCACAAGGTTTCACGTAAAAGCTCTTTGGAGCAGCAGGATGCTCTTGAGGATGAGCACTTTTTTTGTGCTTTATGTTCTTTCCTGGTAACCGGACTGAGGGAACTTCGCTGCTGCATTTTCCTTCACAGACACTTTATAACAAGTCAGCATCCATTTATAGTCACCGGTTCATCTCACGTCTGTGGTGGCTGCTTCTGCTTTCTTCTCGATGGGCTTTGTCTTGTTCTGTCCTAAGTTTTTATCTCCAGCCCTAACCACTCCCCCGAATTCCAGTTTCTCCTTCTCAGTCTTGGCTTAGATATCCGATAGGCTGTTTCAAATTTAACATAACTCACACAGAGCCGTTGGACTTCCTCCCAAATCCCTGTAACAAACCTGTTCCCTTCACAGTCTTCTTTTTTTAAAATGTGTACACAGGCTTAATAATTTCCTTTGCCATGTGCAAGGAATGTTTTCTCGTTAACAATATATGTTTTCGAGTTAAGAATTGCTTGCTGTCTGTGCTGTGGGCACAAGGACTGCCACCAAGCACTCTGTCCGGCCTTGGTCCAGGACGTCAACTTCTTGTTTTGACTCCCAAGAACCATTGTGCTGTGTCATGCCCGCCTGTGCCTTCTCAGTCTCCACTCTGGACCTCTTGAACCTGCAACGTATAGCGGTCGTCTGGCCTCCCGCTGAGTCTCTATCCTGCTTTGTGATTCAGATCCCCGAAGATTTTCTCTTCTCAGCCGCAGACCAGAGTGGCATTGCTTCTCTTTCTCTCAGAATTGTGCAAAACTGCACAGCACAGCAGTCTTAATCTTGGTAAATGGCCGCTGTAACCTTGTTCGGGCTTAAGCTTCGGCATTATCCTTGACTCTTGTCATTCCCCAGAAGCAGCTCATCAATAAATCTGTTGGCAGTACCACCCACTTCTCCCTACTTCTGCTGCTGCCACCATCGAAGCCACCGTCACCCCTTGCGTGAGCTGCTGCACTGGCCTCCTGTCTCCTCTGCTTCCACCCTCGTCTCTCTGTAACCCATTCTCCACGACAGTTTTACGACAGCCAGCGCGATCCTTGCAAAACAGAAATTAGACCTGTTCGCTCCCGGACTCAGACTGGCTTTGCATCTCATTCACAATAAAATCCAAACATGGCCATGAGTTCCTATGTGATCTAGCTGCCCCTCTGATCCCATCTGGCTCCTCTTCTTAGCTACTCTGCTTGGCCACGCTCACCTTCCTGCTTTTAGTCTGTGCCCAAGAGCGTTCTCACCTCAGGGCCTCTGCGCTCTTTCTCCCGAGTGAGGCTTCAGCACCTCGGTATGCACGTGTTCGTTCCCACGGTCCCTTCAGGTCTCGGCTTATACGTCACCTTATCCTAAAGAGCTTCTCTGAGCACTTTTTCCTGTCCTTTTACCTTATTTCTGCCTTAGCATTTATCCAAATGTGACATTTTTCTATCACTGAGTTTTATCTGTCCCCTCCCCCCACCACTAGAACTTATGCTCCATTAAAGCAGGATTATTATTTTTTTCTTCACTGCTTGATCCCTATCACCTGCCTGAGGCGGTGATGTGGGGCCAGGACGTAGACGTCTGATTCCAAGTCCAGCGCCCTTTCCGTGACTCCGCGTGGCCTTCCATAGCTTTAAGTTCCTTGGGCGCAGTGATTGCATCTTTCCTTCTTTGGCCCCATCTGCCCGTCGCGTACAGGACTATGCTGTGCACTCAGTCAGGGGTTCCGTGTGCCTCGTACAGGCTGTGGCTTGAACGAATGACATCCTGTGTTCGTCGTGGTCTGTCATCACTGGATCCCAGACTCACTCAGGGTGCAGTGACTTCACTCTTTGTGGGACTAAAAGCCAGGCCGCTGTCGCTCACCAGATACACAGTGGCACTGGGAAACTGCAGGCGGTTTGAGTGAACAATCCGATGTGGTGAGAGTCTAGGTCTCAATAAACAGATTATCCATGTTCTGAATTTTGAACTTTTAACATAGCGGCGTAACTGTGCAGGGAAGGATCAGACTGAAATCCGTAGGGCCTGTGTGAGCCCAACAGGTTTAATAGGATGTTGGTGTTTTTGTGTTTAGCCACCTGATGTCCTTAAGGAAAGTATGTCCCAGGAATGTTCTTTTGCAGATGAAAGAGCATCCATGTTTGGCTTAGATCCTTCCAAAGCAACTACTAAAAGGCCCGTACATTTTATTTTGAAAATTTTGTTCTCTTGCCTGCGAAGTTTCTTAGGCGACGCTGGTAATCCTTCTCGTCTGTCTTGTTTTCACAGGTGATCTGCAATTCTTTCACCATCTGTAACGCAGAGATGCAGGAAGTTGGTGTTGGCCTATATCCTAGGTATGGTGGATGGTATTTCATTTACTGGGAGAAACCACTTTACTTGCCATCCAGGTCCCCAGCCTTTTAGCAAGGCTAGTGCAGCAGCTGGTTCAAGAGCCAGGCTTGAAACCTAGTGATAATTTACAAGACAATGGAACAGGTTAAATTTAAAGAAAGTTTTATAACCCCGCATGATATGCTGTGGTATTAACAAAGAGGCAGACTTCGGACCTAAATTCTGTTTTCAGGAACTTTGGGGTGGAAGTCGGGGGCTGTGGGTGCTATGAAACCACCAGGATGAGATCTGGTTGTCCCCCCGCCCTTGCTGTCATCTTATTCCCCAGCCTCCTGGGCCGAAGCCCGTGATTATTTCACCCAACTGTCTGGACCACACCAGTCGGGTTCATGTCGTCCTTCGGCTTAGCATGCTCTGAGCCCCGTTGTTCCAGGGGACACGAAAATGTGCAGGACGCGGTCTTCTGCAGGGTTCTCTCTGGCTGTCACTGCAGTGACCTTTATCACTGAGCTGCTAGACTGTCCCTTAACAAGCACTCGAGTCACTCCTAGTCTCGTTTTATCTTCATGCCATTAAGGTCCAAATACAAATATAGTCTTTCTTGTAATTAATTGCTAATCTGAGATTTTAGTTTCCTTTCTTACTCCTCACATGGGTCATAGACTGTGGGCCTGTTGGTGTTGGTCCTCAAAAAGCAGTAACACAGCGGTGCACACACTGAGTGCAGGTCGCCTGGCTCAGATTCAGTCACCACTTCCTAGTTGTGTGTCCTTAGGCAAGTCATTTAACTTCCACGAACAGCTCTTTATCTGTAAATGATCCTCATAAGATTATCATGATTAAATTTGATGATTAATTATGATGCTTAAATTTTATAAACACGCTCATGTGCAAAGAAAGTGCTTTCTACATAGTAATTGCTCACTTACACTTATTCTATCATCGAATATGGTGGCGGCTTAAGTCCAGTCCCTTTTATTCTGAGGTAATGCATGACAGGGGTCATTGCCCAGAATGCATCGGGATCTAGTTAGCAAGGTCACCTCCGCTTTCTCTTTAAGAGGAAGTACTCCTAATTATTCTGCAGTTCTGGATATTCTAGCAGAGGTGGCCGCTCCTCCGTGGGAGCTGAACAAATGAGATCCTGTGTGCGAAAGGTCAGTGGCGTCTTGGCGACAGTGATTACTGCTGCATCCTATTATCTCAGAGATTATTTCTTTGCAAGTCAGTTATTTTCCCCCCCATCTTCCTTGGGTTGCCTTATTGCCTGGCATCTAATGAGACAACTACCTCCCCACACCAACCCCCCAAAAAGACTCAGAAACTGTTTTTATTAACAACCTTCACCAATTAGCTTCCATCTTGGGGAGGATTTCAGTTCATAAGGAGTGGGCCAGTGACATTTCTGGGACGCCCCCAGGGGACTGGGTCCCTGCTGCACTGTTAGCCGCACCTGCCCCCTCCCCGCAGCTGAAGTGTCTTTGGCCCATTGTATTCATTAACCGTAGATGTTTGACTCTGCTGAGCCATGATGGTCTCCCGCTTTTTGTTCTTTCCTCCAGTATGTCTTTGCTCAATCACAGCTGTGACCCCAACTGTTCGATCGTGTTCAACGGGCCCCACCTCTTACTGCGAGCAGTCCGGGACATCGAGGCGGGGGAGGAGGTAAGGAGCCCCCATTTCCCACTCCCTGTCCATCAAAGACCCTGTCTGGGGTCCCATTCCTACAACCAGTTGTGCCTGAGGGACAGCTTTTCATTGTCCTTCTGCAAGGGGAAGATATATAATACCTCTACCCTGCGACCGATTTACCTACCATTACTTCTTCCAGATTATAGAGGGGCTAATTTTTTTTCAATCACCATTTTTCTGGATGATGACAATTCCTTTTGTATATGTGTGAGAGAGGTGTGTGCGTGACAGAATATATGTGCTTTGTGCATATGACAGTTCAGTGGCCTCTTCCATTTCTGCAAGTCGTCGTCTGTCCATGGGCAAGAAGGACAGCCCAGCTTGTGACTGAGATCCCAAAGCCTTACTTACTCCTAAGACCACTAGTCACATTTTGGAGATGACTCATACTGAGATCCCAAAGCCTTACTTACTCCTAAGACCAGTCACATTTTGGAGGTGACTCACTTTTACCTTGGTATAAAGAAAGCAAACAAGCTTTACTCTTTCAGGTTGTCATTGGGCCTTTGCAAACCTATGGCATTTTTAGGTGGTCACTCAAGCAAAGATGTAAAGGGAGTAGAGGACAGGAGTGGGGAGGGGGTGACCTCCAGCAGTGAAATGACCTTAACCCTTCCAGTTTTGCATGCTGCCAGACCAGCCTCTTGATGAGAAACTTTCTCACAAGTCAGTCCACGGTCTCACAAGGCAGCTGTAGATGGGCTGTGTCAAGGCTGCTGGCCCTGAGCCTGCCCAAGGTTTGCACAATCACTACCCTGAATTCTGGGTTATAGATAATCATGCTTCTCAGAACCCAGTTTCCTTCTACCTTCCAATTTGCTCAAGTGGATATTTATTACAATGAAAATAGAGTGTCATAAGCTTTTACTGCATTTATGCAGCACTCAGCCAATAAAACCTAAACTCAGAGGTGCCATATTTTATGCAGACAAGAATTTGGCATCGGTAAGACTCCCTCCGAACTGATTTTCAACGGAATGAGCTGTCGCTTATACAGCCACTTACTGAATTTGCAGGTTTCAGAACTAGGTACATGGCATACCAGTCAACAATATGGGGAACTTAGATTTTTTTTTTTCTGGGGCCATATTTGACTTCTAGGCAGATGAGAAAGGGGTGAGCTATCCATTTTCAGCAACATTCATTTGGCAGCGGAGGGATGGCTGCTTGCTGCTGCTGCTGGTGATGATGATGATGATGATGATGATGATGATGTTTTACTAAATTAAAAAAACAGGCAACTTGGTAAACAAACAGGAAAACTTTTAGAAACAATTAGAATTTATAGAAAGAACAAAGATATTTTCTTATACCTTGTTTTCTAGGCTTGGCTGCCAGTTTTTCTCCTTGATGGTTTTCATTTAGTTGAAAATACACCTTGTCTTTTGGTGCTTATTTCACTTTTCACATCCTCCTCTTTCCATCTCTAGAGCAACAAGCAAACCCTTCCCCTCCCCTGACACAACAGTCCTGCCCAGCCTCAGGCCCTGCAGCCGCCAATATTTTCCAGACAGAACTTGTCAGAGCAGCTTCTCAGCAAAGCGAGGACCCGCCCCCCACCCCCTCAGGAGTCCCTCTTACATAAGCTTGCTCAGAAAGCGCATTTTTTTCCCCAGACCATTTTACGAGTCTCGGTGTCCGATGTTTTCTCTGCTGCATTATCCTCGCTCTCTCTGCCTGTCTTAATGCTACACACTCTTCAAGGCCCTCTCAGTCACCATCTCTTCTAATAAAGTTTTTCCTGATTTTACAAATTAAAGGAAGCTCTTTTTCTCTGAGATCTCCCTGATGGTGGTTACGAATATTTCTTGGGCATTTATTCCTGCTCTTTCGGTGACTTCTCTGTTCATTTACAAGCTTCACGGGGACAGGCAATTGTGTCTTACTTTTGAATCTCTTTTAGTACCAAACACGTTCCCTGCACCCGGGAGGCATTCAGTAAGCCTTTGTCCATTGACTTTCTGTTAAACTGAGCATATTAGGAAGACCAGCAGCGCTTCCCATGGTGGGCACTGTTGGCATTGCGGGTGGAACAGTTGTTCATTGTGTAGGACTGTAGCCTCATTGAAGAAGGCTGGTGTCTCTAGTCTCTGCTCAGTTAATGCCCGTAGCCGCCCACCACACCTAAAATACATCCTGCACATTTAAAACTGGCCCCTTGGGGCAGAGGTGACAGAGAGAGAGAACTGTGAGAAAAGACCTTTATCATGCAGATATTTGCTTTAGTTCAATTGGATAAGGAAGTAAATTTTGGTAATTTCACAGCATCAACTTTGCATTTTAGCTTTATTGCTCATTTGGGCACCTCTAGTTTTAACATGTGCTATTTGGGATGTAAGTGCCAGGAGGCAGGCCCCGTGAGGGAAGACTACCCCAGCCTGTGATATTGAAGATCCTCAGTCTGTATTTGTTGGGTGAATGAATGAGGCTTGCTAAAGGCAAAATCAGGGGTGGGATAGATTCCACCTCCCGTTTGAAACTACCACCAGTCCTCAGGTATGTCCGTGGGCCTTGGAAAGGAGGTAGCATGAAAGCCAGCCCATTGCCAGTTTGAGATGGGAACGTTTCAAACCTCAGGCCAGGAGAGCAGGAAATTGCGTGGGACTCCACACGAACAGAAGTCACCGTGGAAATGACTTACCCTTTGTTCCTCTCCACGTAAAACTACCATTTGGACCACTTTTGGATCATTTCCCTTTAAACTGGTACCATTTATGATACTTTGCTATTTAAGGATTTTCATTGTGATACTCAGTTGTTGGATGTGTTGTGGGTTTATTTTCTTTTGTTTTGTTTTTTTGTTGTCTTTTCAGTTTTTTTTCCTTTTGTCTCTTCTTACAGAGAGTCATTTGTATCATGGTTTAAGTCATGGCCGACATGCTGGGTTGCTGATGGCTGCCTTTTCAGGGTTTTATTAAGCTATAAAATAAATAGCATCATCTCACAGTCTTCTAAAACATAGATCAAGAGGAAAGCTGGACAGTCCAGGCCACCCTCATGAGAATTCCTGGTTGGAAGAGGTTATAGCTGTTACAAACAATGCCCCTGGCTGCCAACATTCTCCGGAGCCATATCAGTTGGGAGAAATGTGATTTGCATAAATTGAGCATATCAGTATCCCTAATGTCAGTTTTAATCTAGAGTGTTTGGGGATTAGGACAGTCTGTTTCTTTCCTCATCATCTTTACTCACTTGCTAAGTCATTTAATAGATTCGCTGCGTACTTACCGGGGCGCTGTATGAGGTGGGCATAGGGAATAGAAGATGAGGACTCAGCCTCGCCCTCAGGAGTCCAGGCATCCTTGAGGAAGCTGACACAGAGCAGAAGACGGTAATACAATACGAGAAGTACAATAGTATAGATGTGCACAGGGCTTCGCAGACGCTCGGAGCAGGGGCACCGGGGGTGGTAAGAGGGGGAGGGGAGTGGTCGAAGAAGGCTCCCAGGGAAGTGGCTCCCAGGCTCTTCAAGCACCCACAGAGTTAAAGCCGGCTAAGGTGAGAAAGGTGCTCTAGACAAAGACACAGAGGCCAGAGGCAGAGTGGAGAATTCACGGAGCAGGAGGCCGTTCGCATCAGTAGACGGAAGGATTTAAATGTGACCAGCAGATGAGAGACTATGCGGGGACCAGACTGAGGGCCCGTGGGCGCGTAGGAGGAGCTCACTTCGTCTGCAGCTTCCCAGCAGCGCCCGGTGTACAGGAGGCGCTGGGTAAACCTTCGTGGGAGGGAGGGCGACAGGCAAGGGGAACGTGATTGAAGGGTTAAGAAAGGAAGTGCAGGACTGGATTTTCTGCATGTAGGCAAGGTCGGGAGAAGGAGGGTCCAGGGATACAGTAATCCAGGCAAGAGGTGACGATGGCGGCCTGATGTCACGGGGAATTCAGGTGGTGACTCGTGATGGGGGAGTCTGGAGAATATAATATGTAGAAGCTAAAATTAGCAGGATTTCATAATCAGCTACAAGGATGTGACAAAGAAAAGAGACAAGAATAACACTCAGGTTCGACTTTAAAAAGAAGTGAGATGTTTCAGACTTTTCTCAGTTCAGAGCCAGTTTTAGCATAAGAATTTATAATTGTGACAAGTAATTCCAGAAATGAAAACAAAGTCTATCTTTAATTTGATCATTTTATCTACCCAGTTGGACATAGTTAAAAGATGTGCTTTGTGGAAAAGGCGTTTGTTTTGCCTTAAAATTTTCAAGTAAGCAATATATTCAGTATCCCGCAAATATGTTTCATGATATTACCCTAATGCTGGAAATGACTTACTGCATTTTCCATAAGAACTGAAATGGCAAAGCAACGATCAGTGGCATTAATATTTTAATGCAAGTTTGTTCTGTTCCATTAAAGCATCCACAGATCAATGGCAAAGTTTCATATATATATATGTTCCCGCTAAATGAATCCTACATTTAGTGAGCAAATTCTCCATTAAAACTGGTGTGTCAATGAGTCTTTAATACGGGTTTTAATCTTTGGATGATAAAATGATTTAGCTATCATTATCAGCTAGTAATCTGGCTATATTTTTTTTCCCCCAAAAATACAAATAGAGATGCTTTTTGCTATTGAGACCTTCAGCTTTGATACAGTGTATTTTGTGAACTTTACTGTCATAAAAGGCACCAAGTGGGAAACGGGGCAGAGTTTACTGGAAGAGGAGAATTTGAGTCAAGCTCGAAGGATAAGAGAGTTCTGAATAAGGCACACGTTGGCATCGTGTGCATTGTTTCAGAGGTGTAGCTCTGTGCGTGATTGTGACGGACCATATGGTGTGCGGGGAGGTGCTGACACTGGAAAGGCAGACAGGAAATCAGTTGGGAAGCCCTCATGTGCCTTTATCCTGTAGGCAGTGAGAAGCCACCCAAAATCTCCATGCGGAGAAATGACACGATCAGATGCGAGCTGTAGGAAGACATCTCTCAGAGCGGTTTAGAAGATGAAAGGCAGACAGAAGGCAGCAGGGAGGCCAGTTAGGAAGCTCTCGTTGGTCCAGGTAATGGTCACAGGCAGTTACAGGGAGTGTGTGTGGGGGGGGGGGGCGCTCTAAGAGTCTGTTTATTGGGTTAAGTGAAATAACTAGTCTCCTGTTGCCTGTTGCCCGCTCCCCATCTGGCATGATCACTCATGAGTTTTGGCCTTTGTAGTAAATTCTTGGGTTAGCCAAGCATGTTTCTCCAGCGTGGCAGGCCCCATTCATTGGCTTCACAATGGGCATGTTGTAATCGCCCAGTAACTGCTGCCAGTTGATCCGATCTGATAGCCGAGGCTGATGACTAAGAGCCCTTGGGCTGGATCGAGAATTAGGGTCCAGAGTTAACCCAAGAGGGAACACAGACCGGCTCATTTTGCTATCTCGCCTCGTTTAAGGAAACAGGCTGAGAGCCTGAGAGCACAAGATGAACATCCATGCCACCCCGGACTCACTCACGGGCTGTTGTAAAAGAGCCCTCAGATACTGGTTATTTGGAATTTGAGGTAGAGAATTCTCTCTACGCAAGAGGAACTTGCCTTATACAATGGCCATTTGCGCTAAGGGGTGGCCCTGGCTTCGGATCATGAAGCAAGAGAAAGATATAGGGTATGAAAAAGTGCTGTGGTCTCAGCTGAAGGAGCCCAGTTGTCACAGAACATCGCTTAGCACCGGCTTGAGAGTTTCGGGTTGGCCGGTGCCGCGGCAGCTCCTTCGGAAGCCAGTCTCCCCTACAGCCCCCAGAAGCACGAGAAGCAGCAGAGTTCACTTAAGAAGCGTATCAGGCTCGACTCAGATGTGGGCGCAAATCCCAGAGGGATCCAACACCTCTGCTGTTTTCACTGCCTCGTGCTGCCCCCCTAGGTGACTGCCTGGCACGTAGTAGAAGTTCAATAATGTCACTGTCAACATTTCTGAAGGGTAGCACTGTCGTTTCTGTGTATGGAGTGGCATGTTATAATTGCCTAACTCAGAAGGGTGCATAGACAGCCACCTAGCTGGGCGAGGCCGTGACTTCTGTCACCCTCGTGATGGCCATGGTGGGTTTGACGTCTCTGGCTGGCTGGACCAAGCCTTCTTCCCCACTGACTGCTTTTGTGGGGTCCTCCTTCAGCTGCCTTTTCCATCAGAGAGGGTGGCATCCGTGCCCTGCCATGCTGTCAAACAAGTAAGATCACGCTTCGTAGCCCCGAGATGCTTTCTTTTAAGCCTGAGAAAGACCACATGGTTGTTGGCTCTGGGCAGTTTTTGTCATCTCCCTCCGAGCATAATCTTGCCTCCTTCCTCTCCCACAGCATCCCGTTCTTCCCCCACCACATGTACCCCATAATCACTTCCTACCCATAGACGCAAACAAAGAAGCCGTTTATACAGTACGTCACAAGCTGATATATGTTACACAGTGAGAAAAATTAGGGAAGGGTAAGGGAATTAAAAGTACTGGGGTGGGGCGGGAATCAGGCTGTTATTTTAAATAGGGTCCTCGGGTTAGACCTCAGAGAGGAAGTGAGATTTGATTGACACTCCATCTTGCTATAAAGTGTCTAAATGTTAACTTTGCATTTCTTTACTTATTTCATGGTAGACTAGTAATACCATGGACTAGCAACTGTCCAGGAGCCACACTTTGAGTTGTGGGACTCCGTCGTGAGGACTTGGCCTTTACTCTAAGCGAAGTGGGAGCCGCTGGAGTGTTTTGAACAGAAGAGAGATCTGTTCCGACTTCTGTTTTCAGAGCATCCTCTGGAGGATGCAGTGCAGGGGGCCAGGGGAGAGGCGGGAGACCAACTGTGAGACTTGCGTCTTACAGGCTACACATGGTGGTGGCCGAGACCAGGATGGTAGCATTGGAAGAGGTAGGAAGTGGTTGGTTCTGGATATAGTTCTAAGGCTGAGCCCACGGATTTCCTGGTGGATTGGATAAGGAGTGTGAAGGAAAGAGAAATCAAGGACGACTCAGAAGTTTCAGGTTGGATAATGCAAAAGATGAATTACTGTCAGTTGAGATTGGGCACCTCCAACTGAGGTGGAACAGGTTGAGGGGAGAGCAGGAATTGGATTTCGTATATTTCGAATTAGACTTTCAGTACCCAGGAGATCTGATCAAGTGAGAAATGAGAAACATCACGATGTCACCTGATGCCCTATATCTTGATATGGAGTCTTAGGGCCAGAGGGGAACCTGCGGGAGTCCCCCGAAGTGTGTGTGCCCTCTTGCCTGCGACCTTTCGCCTTCCAAGGCAGAAGGTATTTGAAAGGGTCCAAGGAAGTCAGTTTTAGAGCCTCCATCAGTGATTGCATTCTGACATTAAATTCTCCCTATTTGGAAATCATGCCACCTTTTTTTTTTTTTAAATCTAGTCAAAAGTAAGCGAGCAATCTCCTCATTGCAAAGATAGCAAATCTGGTTGACCCTAAATTCTGTGAGGCAGCAACAGAATTGAATTAGGATTTAAGAACAATCTGGCCATGTCATCTGCTACCTGTTTGACTGCCAGGATTATTTTGGCTTCTCCAATTACCAGTGCTTGTAGAATTTATTCCCAAACTTAGTAATACCGAACATATAACAACTCTTGATATTTCACTGTCTACTGAATAAAAAGTAAGGCATAAAAATGTCTCGAGTTAGTGAGCCCAGTTCTTTAAAATAAATGTGTGATACATACGTGCTCACTATGTAACAAAGACTGGAAGGTGATGCATTAAAAATTTTACATGTATTTATTTGGGTGGAGACACTGTAAGTAGTATCTTCTCTCTTAGACTTTTTTCGTGTGTAATAAAAACATGTTTTACTTTAAGAATTAGCAGTAATAGTAAGTGTTTGTTAAAGAAATGAACACAGTAGCCACGTGGCCCCATTTCTCTCTGTGACCTCCACAGCTCACCATCTGCTACCTGGACATGCTGATGACCAGTGAGGAGCGCCGGAAGCAGCTGAGGGACCAGTACTGCTTTGAATGTGACTGTTCCCGGTGCCAAACCCAGGATAAGGTATGTTGTGTGGAACCAGCTTGGAACACCTCCCAGTCACATCACGATGATCCTTCAGAGAACTCAGCTTCTATTTCATGAATCCAAAAGTAAATGACCGTCAGTGCATAGCAGGAAACAGAAGTAAATAAAATAATGCACAGTGCTGCATATATTTTATTTACTGGAATGTTTATCACCAACTAAGCAATAAGCAGTTTAATCTCAGGTAAAGATCCATGGAGCTTAGAGTCTAGAGGGGATGTGGGCATTAAACACGTAATGACACGGTGTTGAAGGCCAGAGTGCCTTTAGAACAGGTCGTAAGAGGGTGAAGTCAACCTCGCTTGGTAACAGTATTTCTCAGCGATGAAGAGACCAAGTTATATCTAGTTTTTATCTCTTTAAAATTTGTTTTGTGAGGCTTTTTGCTTCCACACTTTGTTAGATAGAGATCATTTATCTAGCAACTTCTACTCTCTGAAAAGGGAAGAGCCAAAATAAATGTCATAAAGACAATGAATGAGCTTTTCTCATGTTACACATATACTTTCTTTACATTGATCCTATTAACTTTTAGTTTGCACACAGTCAGGTTATCTGATGAGTCTTACTTTTGTAGAGTGTTTTACATTTGTTGGAATTCTTTTGTGATCATTACCTCGTTTGAACTCAATAATTACAAATTAGGAAATAGAAAGTTTGGAGAGATGCTTCTGGATAGGATGAAGGAAAAAAATGTCAGAACCAAGTCTCAAACCCAGATTTTTGACTAGTGTTCCTTCCGCTATATCACAGCCCCCTCTGACTTCTGGGGCCAACGTTGGTGGAGAAAGGTTGTCAGTTTCACTGCATGAGAAAGGACCATGAGCTCATTCTAATGATGGAGGACTTAGTGGCCATGAGTAGGTTTTCATTAAAGAGAACTTTTAGAGGTGATTTAAATGGGAAAAGCTAGATCCACTGCTAATAGCCTCCCAAAATTCAATCTACTTTAGTGTCAGCCTTTGCCACTCACAAGGTAACAAGAAGCGGAGGGAACTCCCCTGGGATTTCTCCCCAGACTGTGATCTGCAATGGCAGACAGCAGGCCAGCTTCCCACCCATACCCTTGGCTGGGACTGGGAAGGTTTTCAGGTTACTAAATTACCCTCTTTCATGGCTTCTATATGGCAGACCCACAAACATTTTTTAATAAGTGCTTATATTTTATTAAAATTGGGGTCGTGTTCACTTTTGGTTCATTGTTATAGTTGAACTCTGACTGGAATAGTCCATTAGAAAACGGTTTGGCTACAAATGACAGATAACCTACTAAAACTGACTTTAGTAGGTGTGGCGTATTTGTCTCCAGAATTCTGGAGAAGCAGCCCAGGATGAGAGCTCCTTCTCATGGAGCTCATCACAGACCCACGATTCTCCTGTCTTCCTCCTTAGCCATCCCTAACATGTGACTTTTGTCCTCATGGTCCCAGGATGATTGCTTCCCCCAACTCCCACTCAGTGTGTCCAAGCTCTAGACATGAAAAAGAAGAGGTAATACGAAGAACAAAGGGGAACCCTGCTAGAGAGCTCCACCTGCATCTTAGTGCTTGGAACTGTGTTACATGACCACTTTTACCTGTGAGAGAGGTGAGGAAACCACAGTTTAGCTTGTCAGCCCTTATACTAGAGGATGATGAGGGAGAGGAAGGTCACGGATGGCTCTTGGTTAGCTGACCTACAGTATCTTCCACACCCATTGGGACCATTTTCTTTCCTCCTTTAAGCTAAAAGTTTCTTTAATATCGTATTAGGATTCTTCAGAGAAAGAGAACCAATAGGATATGTGTTCATGTGTGCAGCCCTGTTGCCTCAGAGAGAGAAAGAGAGATTGATTGATTGATTGATTGATTGAAGGATTTGGTTCATCTGAATGTGGAAGCTGAGAAGTCCCAAGATCTGTAGTCAATAGCGGGAGACCCGGGAGGGCTAATGGTGTAATTTCAGTCCAACTCAGGAAGAGCCAGTGTTTCCATTTGAGTCAAAGGCAGGAAAACGATGTCCCAGCTCAAAAGCAGCTGGGCAGGAGGTGTACCCTGTCACGTGCAATAGGTCAGCCTTCTTGTTCTATTCAGGCCTTTGAACTGGGCAAGGCTCACACTGGAGAGGACAGTCTGCTTTACTCATTCTGCTTATTCAGATGTTAACCTCGTCCAAAAACACCCTCACACACATACCCAGAATCATGTTTAAGCAAATATTTGGGCACCCCGTGTCCCAGTCAAGTCGACACATATGTTAATCATCACAAATATTGTGTTAGAGATAGGCCCAACGGTATCATCAAAAAAGTGTTCAGTTATTCTGCCGGATTCTAGTCCATTCAGTAGCTAACAAACTGAGTGGTTCTGGGCAAGGCATTCGACCTCTTTGATTTATTACATCATCTGTAATACAAGGGACTCATATAGCTCAATAGCAAAAAAAAAAAATTCAATTAAAAATAGGCAAAAGATCTGAATAGATATACAGATGGCCAAGAAGACATACAGATGGCCAAAAGGGACATGAAAAGATGTTCAGCATCACTATTTATCATGGAAATGCAAATCAAAACCACAATGAGGCATCACCTGACACCTGTTAAAATGGTTATTATCAAAAAGACAAGGAATGACAAGTTTTGAAGAGGATGTGGAGAAAAGGGAACCCCTGTGCACTGTAGGTGGGAGCATAAATTAATGCAGCCGCTATGGAAAACAGTATGGAGGCTCCTCAAAAATTAAAACTAGAACTACTTTATAATCCAGCAATTCCACTTCTGGCTATTTATTTGAAGAAAATGAAAACGTAAACTCGAAAAGATATCTGCACCTGCGTGTTCATTGCAGCATTATTTACAATGGCCAAGATATGGAAACAACCTACGTGTCCTTCGATGGATAGATGGATAAAGAAGATGAGATATACAGTTGACCCTTGAACAATGCAAGGGGTTAGTGTAGGCAACTCCCTGTGTAGTCAAAAATCCTCATGTAACTTTTGATTCCCAAACTTAACTACTAATAGCCAGCTGTTGGCTGGCAGCCTTACCAATGAGGTAAACAGTCACTTAACACATATTTAGTATTTTATACTGTATTCTAGCAATAAAGTAAGCTAGAGAAAAAATGTTAGGAAAATCATAAGGAAAAGAAAATACATTTATAGTATTTATTGAAAAAATATTCATATAAGTGGACCTGTGCTGTTCAAACCCATGTTGTTCAAGGGTCAGCACTGTGTGTCCTTACCAATGAGGTAAACAGTCACTTAACACATATTTAGTATTTTATACTGTATTCTAGCAATAAAGTAAGCTAGAGAAAAAATGTTAAGAAAATCATAAGGAAAAGAAAATACATTTATAGTATTTATTGAAAAAATATTCATATAAGTGGACCTGCGCAGTTCAAACCCATGTTGTTCAAAGGTCAGCACTGTGTGTGTTTGGGGGGGTGTGTGTGTGTGTGAGTGTAATATTATTCAGCCATAAAAAAGGAGATAATCTTGCCATTTGCGATAACATGGATGGACCTTGAGTGCATTATGCTAAATGAAGCGAGTCAGACAGGTAGGACAGATACTGTATGTAAACAAGGGAGTTAGGCTAGATGGTCCTAAGGCCCCTTTCAGCCCTGTTAGCTCATGTTTCTCTGAAATGTTTCCTAGTGGAAGTGAGTAGGGCATGTATTTACACGAGAATATAAACTCTATTTCAATTAGTTCATCAGTTACTTTCAAGTTTTTATTTATATGAGAATTTTATTGTTTAGTGATATATACATTCCTTCTGAAATCTCTATGCTATTTATTGATTTGCTTTGAAAAAATAATATAGGTAAATTCAGCTTAGTGAATTCCAAAAGATCATAAATTCAAAATTAATTCAGATAAAATTAAATTTACTTCATTTCCTAGATTTCAAGTTTTTAGGCTTCTTTTTCTGCTTTTCTTGGAACCGAGAAAAGTCATCTTAACAGGTCCCTGCATCAAGCTGTATTCATCACATGCCTATGTCTGCATGTTATAGGCTCCCGTGGTATCATGTTTCAGGAAGGCAAAAGGTCTTTTAATAGTGGATGTAATTTGCATGTGTGGAGTTAGCTGTCATTTGTAATCAGCAGCCCCTTAATTTGGGGAAGAAATAAAGTTTACCTTTTAAAGGAGGTTTTGTAATGATTTAGTTTCTCCCATGGCTTTTCCAGGTCAAAATCCAAGGCAATAGAAGCAGAACAGACCAAATGGAATTGATTATTTCCATAAGTTTGTGGATAGTGGATAGTGTGCTTCCTTAGATGTCGCATGTTTTATTACCAAAAAAAAAAAAAGCTATATTTACTTGCCATGACACTTTTTCTTTCCTAAAGCCGATTACCTTTGATCTGTCTTTTAAAACACAGTGTCTGTTAATTTACTCACAGCCCTATTGCCTCCTAGATTATTGAAATGGCCCCTAATTGGTCATCTGGCTTTCAGTTTCTTCCCTTTCATCCATCGTGCACACTGTTTCAGAGTAAGTTTTCTTAAATATCGCTGTTTCTGTATCAGAAGTTTCAAAGTATTTAGCGTTATCGTTAGTCTTCAGGATAAATTTCAAACTCGTAGTTTGGCACTCAGTGTCCTCCGAAGTCACGACCCCACGATCCAGCTACACTCGTTTCCTTTCTCTTCTCTCTATTTTTTCCTCTCTTACTTTGTTTTTCTCTTCTTTTTCAACTTGTTTTCTATAACTTGTTTTATCTGATTGTATGCTTTCCCCCACCCAAAAGATCCTGAAGTAGCATGTAGATGTATGTGCACACATATTCATATGTGTATCTAGGACAACAGCAATAAATTTCATTCTGATTTGTGAAATAAGACTGACAAGAAATAAGATGAAAGCTGTTTAGTACCCAGAAAGCATACCTTGGGATCCTTTATAGTGACAAGAAATAAATCACAAATTCACTCTAAATTTCCCAGAAGCCAAAGCTAAAAGACTAATTTCAAAAGTT